TCCCGTCTACGGAGTACATCACCATTCTATCCCTGGCCTCAAACTGCCTATCGGTTGCTGACGCCACATATCTGGCATGACAACCATGAATCAGGAGTTAGTGAGCCTTGTGCCGCCCAGTACTGGTTGAGCTCCATAGCTTCATAGCTCCACTAGCCAAGCAGTCAGATAGTAGCCAGATACCGCTGAACCATGCCAGACCGCACAGACGATGTGTTTCAGTTCTGAGACTACACCCTGATGTGTGCAATCGCCTGCAAACATGTCACTTTCACATAAGTAACTCGATTTGATCGATACGTACGAACTTTGGTTCGGCTGCATATTATTGCAAGGTGCTATGCCCGGGGAATCTGGGAATAGATCTGGCTTATTATAGTGGTATTTTGTACATTAGAATCAACTCAACGTGTCTGAGATTGAGGTTGAGATTCGGCGAATTTTCTGGGCCTCATCTACGAATACCTGACCGGCCTTACTATAACAAGGCACGCCGATCTAGGTGCGGGGGTAGCACATGGCATCGCGGATAACACAAGGCACAGATGACCGAATATCGACCGGCTTGGTTGTGCATAACATCTTCCGGAAGTACCAAGCTTTTCTCAGCAGACCAGCGCCGAGAAAAGCTTGGTCCAGACGGGCATATCGGTCAGCAAAGCGCCGGGAAATGGCTCACTCAGTCGTTGGTCACTGAACATATAGTGCGCTTACCGAACCGACCAAGCCTTGAGGGCATATGCTCTATAGTCATGCTCATGCCTGGCATAGCTGAGAGCATTTGGCGCACAGGGTCTTCTTGTTGATGATCAAGTCCAGGATCTCACTACGGACCCGAGTTCTGACATCCGAGGATGGCATTGGGGTTGGTACAAGCACTTGTCTTGTTGGATCGATGGATATACTGCTAGGATCTGGGATTATGACTAGCAACATATTCCAGGATGCCCGTCTCCGCTCGAAACACATTAGCGGCCATGGCTGATCTCAACAGCCCTGCTCAGCCAACTCGTCAAGGGTCCGGCCACCCCTCCACCCAATTTACCATCGCCTGGCCCAGATAATATTTCCGAATCTGCGTTAACGCGCGGAGAGCCCCGGATCACGGACCAGCGCCACTAACACGGTGCTGCTCCTGGTGCTCCTGGTGCTCCTGGTGCTGTTGTGCCCGCCCAGGTAGCTAGTGACGAGCAGCGATATACCTGCCTGCAGGCGCCTCTTCTTCCATACGGTACATTTCCTCTTTCTCTCAGCCTAGTCGCCGTGAGCCAAACCTAACGACGTCAGCTCCGGCCTCGTGGCCTCGCCTTTTCTTTTCTTCTTCGCAGGCCCTTCCAGAACAGAAGATTGTCCCGGGTCTCTAAGGCTGCGACTTCAACACACAGCCGACGCCCTTCTTGAAGTCACTCGTTCTAACCCGGCCAGTACTCCGAGCCGCAGATACTCTCGCCTACCACTGGAACTTTGGACCCCAAATAGACATTCTAAGTCTAGGAGGAGTGCTATCAGGTACAACGGTAACGGCCTAGAGCTTTGCTTAGCCATTCCTGGTCCAAGCATTGTAGTTTGGGAAACCCGCAATCTATTCCTAGTGTTAAATAAGGTGATGAGCCGAATAGCTACTTCGGAGCAAAAAGGTCTCGGGTTACACAGCTTCGCGACACTCAAGATATCCATTTCGCAGAGACGAATTCACACTGTTGATTGCGGACTAGGACACTGGCGGCAAAGATTGAAGGCTCCGTTGCAGGTTTAATTGACAAACAAACGGCATATCCTAGCTTCTTCTTTCCGGGCAAAGCGAGAAACGGGAGTTTGCCCACTTTGTACTTGACGACCTGCAGCTTTCGTTCAACAGAGTTACCTTTATGCTCGTTGACCGACGCCCCCCTAACGTTCATCCCGTTGGGGGACCTTTTGAGGCTTCCTCGACAAATCCTAGTAGAGGCTGGGCACCGAGAGGGCACCCAGCTATGTCAACACCGCAGAACGTTTATGCTCGCTCGCCCAATCTCTCCAACAGATCCTACGACTCGTCTTCTGTCTCATCTGCAACTTCCCCCAAATCTTTGTCCCAGTTTGCGCCAGGGGCCATGAGTACCAACCCACGTTTGAATGTTCCGGCAACGCCCCAACCTATTGGCATCCCCCCTTTACCTCCAGTCACTCAGGGCTTTCAACCGTACGGCCCAATGACCACGTCATCTTCTCTTGGACACGATTCACTCGCTTCGAATGAATCTGTAGCCAGCACTCCGGGACCATCATCCGCCCACTTGACAGGACCAGGTGGTCAGGGACAGAAGAGAGCATACCGACAGCGAAGGAAGGACCCCAGTTGCGATGCTTGTCGAGAAAGAAAGGTGAAATGTGACGCAACCGAGACGACAAGTTGCTCGGAGTGTTCGAGTCGAAATGTCAAATGTCAATTCACCAAGGAGACGAACCGGCGCATGTCGTCTATCAAACAGGTGCAGGACTTGGAGAAGCAAATGGAACGAGTGAAAAGGGAGAACAGTGGATTGCGCCGTATGCTTCAGGATCGAGAAGGGCCCATGGACCTCGATGCTGAAGGAGGTGACGAGAATAGCTTTAGCTTACCAGCCATTGGATCCGAACCGAAGCGACGAAAGAGACCGGCACCAGTTCCAGAGCTAGCGAGAGCGAGAGCCAATGTACGCGATTTCTCCAGAGGTATCTGGAAACTCCCGGCCCAGTATCGTGAACGAGCCCCTATATTCTTCGACCCCCCGAGACCAGAGCTACCTGCTAGGCACGTGGTAGACCAACTGCTGCACGCCTATTGCAACTCGTCCCACTCCATGTTTCCGATCATACACATGCCATCGTTCCGATCTACTATCAACGACCTCTACAACAGCAATGCATACAACAGAATGTCCCCAGCCTGGCTTTCTATGTTCTTCGCAGTCCTGGCAACTGGCAGTCTCTTTAGCCCAACATCAGGCTCCCAGCCAAACTCCTTTTACGAACCTGCCGAATTTCTTGAGATGGTCAACAAGATGATTGACCCATGGTCTAACGACTTTACTCTGGAACATGCCCGGGCACTAACATTAGTAACTCTCTGTCTGAACGAGATGAACCTGAAGTCGGCGGCTTGGGGATGGTTGGGTAGGGCTGTCCGTGTTTCTCAAGATCTCGGCATGCACGTTGAATCAGGACCATGGCCAGTGATTGAAGGAGAGATGCGACGCAGGACCTGGTGGATGATATACATACTGGATAGGACCTTGGCTACTGAGCTGAGCCGACCTGTTCTGATCGACGACGACGACTGTGACGTGTCATTGCCAGCCGGGGTTGACGATCAGTTCATCCACGAAGGAGGCATGTTAGTACCTACGGGGGCGGAACCTTTGACTCACTCTCTACTCGCCGTTATCCATGTTGTACGGTCGTATTCGTCGCTTCTTACAGCGCTGACACCCCAGTCGATGTCATCAGTTCATCTCTCAACCCTTGACACCCATCTAAAGAAATGTCTGAACACCTTTCCGCCAGCATGCGATCCTTCGAGCAGCGTGCCCCTTGCACCTGGCTTTCTTGCTCCGTTGGCATACCTATTCCACGCTCGTCTTCTCCTACATCGGCATCATCTCGATCCTGTGTACCCCCTCGAGGCTCGGATGGCTTCTCTCGAAAGCTGTACTCACATTGCTCTCGAGACCGTATCTCTACTCCATCGATTAAACGGAAGCCTCTTGGCCGACAGTGCAACTACCTTGTTGACAACGCACATATTCCGCTGTGCCCTATTTCTTCTCCTTACAGGTTACATAGACCCTGCAGTGACGGCTGTGAGAGCACTGGCTTCTATCGATCGACAAAGAGATATCACAATCGCCTGCGGTCGTTACCTGTCGTTCTTTGTATCCGCCTTGGCAGCCAAGAGAGCTGAGTGTACAAACTACCTAACAAGGAGTGCTCCGCCGCACTTTGGTTCTTCAAGGCCATCGATAGACCAAGCAGCTCTTCTACAGATGCTGTCACGCGACGAGGATTTGATTGTGTACGTTTCCGCTGATCTTCAAGCATCAACTGATGCCTCGTGGCTTTGGGCAGGCCTAGAGCGAGAGGTCCATCTGCACCAGTCCCCGTCGCCGTTTCAGCATCCTACATCGGCCACCAGAAACGAGTTGTTCAGCCCTGAGGCTCGAACGGGACTGGACGAAGTCGACAACAAAGATTGGGGTGGATGGGCAAGGCTCGAGACGGCCATTCGTGGACTGGATGGTGTGCCAGCCACGACTTCGACCCCCTCGAGTGCAACTTGGACGCTACCTCCGCCCATCAAGAGCGAGACGCCTGGCCCAGCGGTGGAACTCCCAAGGCTAGGCGATGTATCGCGTTTCGGGTCCGAGATACCCAAGTTGGGCGAGGGAAGTACAGCGGTGAGCCCTGTGGCAGGGGGCAGCAGGACACCGAGTGGAAGCGCAACCGCCCCAACTACCAGCAAAGAGCGGTTGAGCATCGCCAATATTATATAAAGAGTTCGGTTGGGAATTATGAAAGCGATTCTTAATGTTTATTTTATGAGCCTTGTCTTCCTTTGTCTAGTGCTGGAAGCTGGCTCACCTGCAAAAGTTGAAGGAACAAGGCGTATATAAACAGCCTGGTTTTGGTGCATTCTGTTTTGACATGGCGTCCTGATATTTTGTTGCGTATAGCTGCCTCCAGGTACTATAGCATAGTACCGCTTGGGGAGAATCTGTACGAAGATACCACGCGCTGCATGAGATGAGTATAGGATTTTTGCATAGCACAGAGGCGCACCCGGCGTTGTTGGGACATGACCCATAGAGCTGTATACTTTCTGCAACGGTCATAATGGATACACGAATTTACCGTTTGTGTGGTAGCACAAGGAGACAAGTTTCAGCTTGAATATCCCATCAAGACCGTTTCATTTATATTCCGTTACCAATTTGAAGTGAAAAGTACGTCAACATCGGTGTGAGTGAAGAATATGTCGGAGCTCAGCTGGGTGTCCCTTTGCTCAAGCCCAGCTTGACAACTCTCTCCCGCAGCATGTCTCGCATATCGCCATTATCATCCATGTACTCGGTCAGGTCAAGGGCCTTCATAGCCCATTGCTGACATAGATTCTCATCACCTCTCGCCAAGATATCAATCGCATGATTAAATGTTGTTGCGATGATCCAGTCCAAGTCCTCTGCAGGAAAAGGCCTCTGCACCTGTGATAAATGTTAGCCCTCCCTAATAATGAACCCCGTCAAGAATCTATAGTGATGGGAAGAACCACTTACTTGGCTTCCTTCGCGTGCTATCTGGACTGCTTGTTCCACAACCTGGAAAGCAAGGTTGTCATCCAGGGGTAGAATAGCTTGGAACATGCAACGCATGTACTTTGCGAGTTGCTGGTTGTCAAATTGCTCCAGTGAGAATATCTCATTGATTATAAGCCGCATGGTTCCATACACGACTATTGGAATTAGTTTTCCGTGTGCGCTGTTAGAGACCAATTGCCACATACCATTTCCTGAAGCTTCACTCCTTAACAAGCAGTCTCCCATTGCCTTATACATAATCTCACTTTTGCAAATTTGGGCCTTCCTGATAATCTGACTAAGATCGTCCCAACTCCTTAAGCACACGGCACTCTCGAAGTCAAAGACAAAAAGCGTTGATAGCTTGGCTAGGAGGTCGGGATATATCTGAGACTTGGGATCGTTTCGGAAATGAGCGTCAAAAAGGGTGTCGAATTCTGAAATGTGCCGTCTTGTTTCAAGGTACTGCTGCAACTGTTCATCAACCTTGTCCTCGGTACGAGCCTGGGAGACAAGTGCCGCGGCGACGACAAAGTGGCAACGGACGGACATAAGTCGTAGATCAGTATCATCCTCCGAAGGAAGATCGGATGGGTAACAATCCACAAATGCGAGACACGCACGGAAAATGCGGATCAGATGCCACAGCCCCTAGACATGACACTTTGTCACACCGATGTTGTATGCGTTCTTTCGAAACCAGTGCAGCTCCGATACTGTGAAGACTTTGCAACCTTGCTCATCCCTTGGATCCAATTTGGCGTGCTCACAAGCTGTGCGCGTTAGAACACAATCAACCTTTTGAGAGAGAGAGCTTACCCCTTTCGAAAATCCGGCAAGTTTCTCCTGCAAGTTCAGGACTTGCGTCTCCTTCGCTACCCCCTTGCGACTCAAGCGAGTGTATAAGCCTGATGGTACACCTCAGAATCGATGGCAGATTGATAGTCAAAGAGCCTTCATCATCAAAGGTTCCAGCAACCGCCTTTAAAGCTTCCAAGGTCATCAGCTTATCGCCGACGTGCTGTGCATCTCTTATACATGCGTATAGTATATCTCGACACTGAGCTTTCTCGGCAAATTTGCCCAGGAATTCGACACATTGACGACCCAAGTCATGGTCCCAGTTCAGAAGAGAAACCCTGAACATGAGGTATCTGGTGAGTGGCTCATCCTGGGTACTTTTAGGCATTGAGTGAAATGCAGAAAATGCAGTCTCTGTATCACTACAAGAAGTAGCGCACAGCACCAGCCTTCTGCTGAACTTGCCCTGGCATGCCTCGCCACTATTCGCAAAGATAGAGTGGAGCGCAGCCTGGCACCAAAGCTGGGATTCTTTGTACTGTTTCTTGGAATAACTAGTATCGAGCTTCTTCCAAATGAGCTTCTCTTGTCAGCCACGTGAATGAAAGAGTGTTGAAGTAGTTAGACTGACAGAAAGTGCAGCAGTCGACGCCTCAACATCACACTGACCAGCTTCTTGAACGAGCTGATCCAGGGTCTGGTTTAAATCTGCTACGCTCACAGACGCGTCTGCTTCCATCGTGCCCATCCAAACTCGCCGGACAACGGCCTTGCCTATCCAGTCCATGTTGCGAAAAGGCATAAGTTTCCTGAGCAATAACTCATCCATGAGACCTATCGCCAAACGGGGACCTCTCATTCGCAGTTCGCTGATCGCATGCAGAAGAAAGCCGAGCCCAGCGTCCGACAGATCAAGCGACCGTATCATACGGCGCAATATACTCGCGCATGCATCAGCGTTGAAGACTTCGCTTGGAGATCGTTGAAGAATCTCGAGTCTCCAATGTAAAACCACTGGCTTGTCCCCGATCTCTGATTCAACATGCGACACTAGATTCTCAGCTTCTTGTAGTCCATCTTGCGATCCTGTGGCGAGAAATGCCTGTATGAGTTCGTGGTGGATGGATATTCGAAGTTCCAACCCTTCTGTTGAAAGCCTTTCTAGCGCTTGGTCATTTATGAGGTCAAGTGCTCGCCGGAGCCACTTCAAAGCCATTTCATTATCGCCCTTGGACAAGAGGTCGCCTCCGATTCCGTGAAACGTGTCAGCCAAATGTTCAGCAGAAATTGGATCGAGATCGTGCAAGAGGACATCTGCTTTGGCGTACATGTGCTCCGCAACGTCGAGACGGCCCTGTTTCCATGACTTGACTGGTCAGCAAGTCGTCAGAGATGCTGTTGCTTAACTCACCAAAGCACATCGCATGGTCAAGTATTCAGCCTCAATCTTTTGCACCTGAGCCCTGTCTTCAGTAGTCAAATTGTTGATATTCTTTAGTTGGTCGATGTAATCCGCGGCTTTGGCCATACTTAGAAGCGCTCCGTCCAGGTCCGATGATTCGACACACACTCGCGCTAGTGTGAGTGACAAGCCCATCATGTATATAATTTCTTCCAGATTATCCCTCCTTTTACCACGTCGATGCTCCCGTGCGAGAGCATGGGCGAGGAAGGCTAGGACCCGAGTGCGAACCAGCAATTGAGTCCTAGAAGCCGACTGTAGGAGGTTGTCCCTCTTTCTCCTTTCTTTGATACATTCGTTCCATAGCTTCCTCCCGATATCCTTGAGATTCCTGGAGACTTCTAACGGAGGAGCAATGCGGTTCTCCGCAAGAACATTGGCTGTGGCTATGTGATGGTTCAGATCGGAAAGGAGAACATCGGTTGAACTCGAGTCACATGAGGTGGGCAACTTGGAAAGGAGATCTGCGGCGAATTCTGTCCCAATACTGCGGGTCAGTAAGATCTACTACATGTATTCGCTGTTCGATCCTTGCCTATGATTTCCTCGAGCTTTTTGGTGCGGTTGATATTGGATACTTCAGCCGACGCCATGACAGGCTTGAAAAGGGGAAAGCAGCCGCCTTGTATTAGAAGCCGTACATTTGGAGAATAACGTGATTATCAGGTATGATATGAACGGAAAGAATAAGATACCTAAGGCAAGCTAGGGTAAATAATTGCTCGACCCAATAAGATCCTCCTGCATTTAGAACCGAGTCATGTGAGTCTACTGCGAACGGAACGGTCGAGAGCAGGAGCGATGAAAGTGCTCCTTCCAACTACCCACCCAACTGCCCAAAGCCGAAAATCGGACTCCAAAGGTCATGAACCCAAGGAAGGACCCGGAAGAACACCATCATCACCGAGGGTCTTCTCAGAAGCAAGATAATATTCAAACTGTCATCTTCTGTCTAACGTAATGCAAATGAATACATACGCTCCGAATCCTTGTATCCAAGCGCCGTTCCCAATCCCGACTATTTTCTTTTTCTTACTAATGTTTGAGGCCTCATAGCACTCTTTTGCAAGTGTGGCAACTCATGTTGTGCTTCTTGTCACGAAGCATCATACATTTACAGCATATACATGTATCAATGTGCCCATGGTTATTGTGCTGGTGGGTCATGCGGCAAGAAATTACCAACAATAAGAGCTGGTCTATTCGAATTAGTCAGTATGCGGAGGCAGATGGAGCCCGAGTGACTAATACGTACAGTTTGTGCTCGTCTCTTCTGATCATGAACGAGAAACAACATTTCACAACTGGATGCGTTGACCCAGGGGTTGGGTTCTTCAGGGAGCAGGCCGTCAAGAGGGTCTCGTGTGCTGGATCGAAGGCAATCGTGCCAAACTCTTCCCAGTATCGCACCATTGATTCTTCTGTGAGGATTTCGTGCAACGCGATTTTGCCCTAGAGTAAGCGAACGTTAGCAATCTATTTGCCAAACCCCCCTGTGCTTTGACTGGCACCAAACTACTGTCACGAGGAGGTGTAGGCCAAGCAAAGCAAGACTTACATCTCTAAGCTGAGCTACTGACACGCCAATCAACTCTGCCATCTCCTTGTTGCCCCTGAAGATTTCACCGGTTCTTCGCCAGCAGCACGCGGGCACTGCCATGCTTGCAAACACCCGGTCATAGTCCATGAGCTGTTTCTCAAACCACATCTCAACGTACACAAGTTCTATATCCGTCAAAGCATGTGCCTTTTCTCGAAAAGCGGGCCGGAACCGGGCGATGGTCCTGAGAATCTTTTCCCTTGACGCTGTTGTGATGTGTGAATTGAGATATGCACCCAAGCGAGAATAACCGTTGATGTAATTGAATGGTTTTAAGAGTCCAGCGTCGTACTTGGCCTTGAGCACACGCGCCATTCGCTCCTCTGGCGTGTCGTTGCCTGATGGGTCGGCAGCTTGTAGATAGTATTCGCGAGCCTTGTCGGCGGGCACAACGCTTCCCGGTCGTGGAATGTTCTTGCCCTCAACATTCGGAGGGGGTGGCAGCATTGATCCCTCTGTCATGTTTGACATGGTGTTTGAACCACCGACTCCCATAGAGGTGTTGGTGTTATTATTACCAAACCTGGGTAGCATTTCCGACTGGCTCTGGCTCGACCGCTTGAATGCCGGGCTCTGCTGTTCCTCTGGCGGCACACTACCGTCATCGAGCAGACTCGTATGGAGGAAATCGTTGAGAAGATTGAACTCGTGAGTGACTTCTGAGGCAATCATGTAATTGGGGTGATAGCTGTTCATATCATGAAAATGGTTCTGAGCTGTCATCCACGCATCTTGGAAACCAGCAACTAGTGAGTGGCGTGTCAGCGATCTCAGATCAGGAACAGATTTCTGGGCTGCCCCAACCTCAGCCCACCCGTCTCCGCTCGTGATTAAAAATCGAAACAAGGGACAGGCCCCTCACAGACCAGGACAAAGGGACACAAAACGTACATTGATTCGCGTTACTGTTGCCGTTGTTCAACGCATTGCCCTGCAGGCCCGAGACCTGGCCGGGTTGCACAATGGACAGTGGGCTACCTTGACCGAGGACTCCCCCAAAAGATTTGGAACCTCGCTGCCTCGTCGTGTCGAACGTTGGGGGAGGTGGGCCCATGGTACTAGAAATCGAGCTACGAGCCATATCGGACTGTGCGTCTGATTCATCAACTACAGAGGGCGCCTGTATGCTCTGGGTGCTTTGGACACTCTTTGCTTTCTTGGAATCGGCATCGCGAGGCTCATCGTGACAGAGATGTCCAATATTCCGTTTAATGCATCTGGTACATGGTCTCTCCTATTCATGGCGTCAGTGACTTGGTTTTGATGGTGTAGAAAGCAAGCCAGCCCCTCCCCTGAATAGCTGAACACAACAGCTGCAGCTCAGGTGTCCCAGCATGTTATCAAGGCAAGAAACAGGGGCCTAGGATCGTACTTACAAGATCGCAAGTCATATGCTGGACGCAGGTAGAAAACGGATTGTCAGCTACAGTTCTCTCAAAGCTCACATGTGCAAAGTGATGGGTAAACTAGACGAGATTTGTCTCATGGGCGCCATGTCCGTCGCACAATAATTCAGCCCAACAAATGAACTGGCTGCTTAGAACGCCTAAAGCTGCTCGAGGTCCAGACAGAACCAATGCGAACGCGCGTCGTTGAACTTGGGGTTGACTTACAGATCGTCGACAATATACGCAAGCTATAATGAAGCGCCGCAGCGATGTCAGCCCAATGCTCTTCTTGTTACGATAGATAGATTCATGCGCCATTTCAACCATGCCCCTGGAATTGGAGTTGACGAGTCGACGGCTTGGCTAGTTGATTGGTCATGTCAAGATTCTTTTGATCGCAACTATCCAGTATCATGACTTTCACTCACAACCCCAGCGCGAACCCTCGTGAGCACATGCGCAACACCACATCTAGAACCTGTGCAAGGGAAGATGCCTAGTGTCATTACTTAGGAAAACGTACCGTGGTTGACTTTGCGTCTCTTTTTCGTAGGGGCCTTATGATTGCCAGAAGCAGTGGCATTCGAGCTCTTGTCGCGATTCACAGCCTTGCCATCGTCGCCTTTGGCAGGCTCCTGCTTAGCGCTCTTGCCCATGGTAGCGGCATTCCGGTCGGTCATTGTGTCTTATGCTCCCATTGGATCTCTTGGTTACGCAAGGCGACGTCAGGTTCGCAGATCATTTGCGGCTCGCTGCAGCAATCTTGTATGGGTCTACAGCTCAGCCGAAGCGACACGATCCATTCGCACGTTGTCGGCGGCCAGTTGTTGCGATTGCGATTGTTATTTCTGCAGTTCCTGTGCGCGGGTGAAGGTTTGTCGACTGTAGCTTTTCCCTGAGAGAGTCGCGCGCGCGTGAATTGGTCCCGTGGAGAGGGGGGGGGGGGGGGGAGGGAGGAAAGTGGCTGCGCAGGTGGTGTGAGCCGAAACGGTCGAAAGGATGAGGTTTTGAAGGGCACGAGTGAGTGCAACGAGATGCAAGAGATGAATTGATAGCTCAGCAGCCGAGGCTGGCCCAGGAGAGGTGAAACAATGGACACCAGAAGCTCGTAGCCGTCCAAGTTGAAAGAGAAGGCGAAAAGACTTACGAGGACCTGGACGGTGAAGTTTGAGCCAGGCGTAGGCGTAGGCTTAGGCTTAGGCCTAGGCTTAGACCTGGGGCCGAAATAGGCTGGTTGACCACCCAGTGACTTGATTGAGGATTGTGGGGGCGCCTAGAAGCAGAAGCAGCACAGGCTCACGAGCGAAGTGGGCCTTGGATCAGTCAGTTTACGTTGAATATCGTCGTGAGGAGCGTGAAAGAGGATCAATCCTTATTAAAGTGATGCGTATTAGACAAGGGCTTGGTCACTGTTAGTCAAGAATTACAAATGAGAGAGTAAGATCTCTCCTTACTTTAGGGACTGAAGAAACAGGACAGAGCCAAAAGTCAACTGCACCTCGTGAGCTCACCCAGGCAGAGGGCTACCAGTGTGAAGGAATTGCTTCCTGGGGGCTGGACCTACACACCTCTTGGAATAGCGGGGTTTAGGGAAGATGCCAGTGGTCCCCGTCTCGGTGAACGAGCGGCCGGGGCGGGTCCGGACGAGTCTCCGTACCGCCGGAGCACAGTCCAGAACCTATTCCCAAAAGCCTCAGACCTGCAGACATACACAAGTAAGTACATTATTCGTACTGATCGATTCATGAGCTTCTGATGCCGATCCAGCTGGCTTCCAATTTAATAGCTTCCAACTGCCGGCAACCGAGGCAAACGCAGTCAGCCGAACGGTCTTATACAGAATTCATAACCTAGGTACGCTAGGAGAGGTAAGAAAACTTCGGACCTTGGTCGTAAGTGATAAAAAAAACTTAGGTAACTTAGCATAAGCTTAGGATGCCCTTTGCTAAGTTTATTTTGATACCATATGCATAATGTAACTACACTATACAGTGTTACAAGACAAGACGAAAGCCGTTGTTTATGCATTTGCCTCACTTTATGGGGTACATACTTCTCAGCCTAGGCTATTAAATGGAGGGCATATAACTGCCAAAATGGGAGATATACGTCCATATCTGAACAAGACAGAAAAGACAGGCCTCCAATCGAGCTCCAACATCCTCACATCTGCTGACCCCAGCCTCCAATTTCAAAGTCAGGTACAATCCCAATCTCTCCAACAATCAGACCATTTTATTCCTCTCAAATCATAAAAAACAGGCCGTGCACAAGTCAGGGGCCATGAGTCTTTTCTTGACCATTTCTGACATGATCTTGTAGAAAGAAAGGACCTCCTGGTACGATAAATGCTCCAGGGCATGCTGACCTTGACCTTCGGTGAAAGAGAATGGCGCTAAATAAACTCACAGCAGGCTGAAACACTTGTCCAAATCGAGTAATAGCTCGTCTGGGGCATCTCTGCGCGTTATTATTCCTTCACTGCAACACTATGATGTTAATATCACTTCTCATTTTGCACTATATTAATTGCCGCATAGCATCCTTTCCTCGTTTATCTATATCGCTGATGTCATATTGTGAACTTGCCGTTGAAGTATTCTTGTAGCTCGTCGCTCTCATTCCGAATGTCGGCGATTCACGGCTAGCTCACTCTTTGTGGTTGACGACTTTGGAAGGTTAAAGAGGATTTTGACCAATAGGATTTGATCCATATTCTGTTCGTAACTTCGTTTTACTTGGGCCAAGACGCACGTACATCACCAAGGTCAAAGATTCTGCCATACAACATGATACATGATATTTCATATTATGTACTCGTAAAGTGTGCCTGACCATGTCAACCTTAACTCCAATAGTAAGAGGTATCCTAAACACCAAAATCCCTGCTAGACCTCATAGTCCCTCCCTGAAGGGTCATGTATCAGACTAGATCGCAACGAAGAAACTCCTCTCTCCCTCCTTGGGCAAAACTCTCGCCTTGCGCATAATCTCATCCTCACACGCCAATCGGATCCTTTCAGGTGTCGCTGGACTCTCGAGCCGCAGAAGCCCCTCACAAGAGTCATCGCCGATCGTAGCCTTTACTCCGGATTGTGCGCGCGCTGCCTTGAGTGCATCTCGAATAGCGAAGAAGACCGAGCTTCCCATGAAGAATGGCGGTTCACCCACACCACGGCTGCGTTGAATGGTACGTAGCTCTTTCCATTCCACGTCTTTGAGAAGTGACACGTTGAAAGTCTGAGGGATATCTCGGAACCCAGGAATCTTGTATGCGCCAGGACCCCGTGTGAAGAGATGTCCGGCCATGGGACCGTTACGTAGCCACAACGATTCTTCCATTGTGAAGAGACCGAGACCTTGCATGAACGCACCCTGGATTTGACCATAGTCGATCGCTGGGTTGATAGACTGACCAACATCCATCTTGATGTCTGCGCGTATGCAGGTCCACGTTCCAGTCAGCAGGTCAAGTTCCACTTCAGCTGCGGCAACTCCCTGAGTGAAGTAGAAGAACATCTTGCCCTTGTTAGTATTCCAGTCGTATCCAATTTCGGGCGTCTTGTAGAAGCCTTGGGCAGAAAGATTGACACGGTCGAAGTAAGCAGCATGGGCGAGATCCTTCATGGTCGCCTCAGGGCCCAGCTTCTTTCGATATGGTGCTAATCGCTCGTTCAGCTGCTCACATGCGTTGAAGATGGCGTATCCGTTCAGATCTGACGAGGCCGAAGCAGCTGTTGCAGAGGCGTTGGCCACTGTGTTGGTTGAAGTCTCGGATATGAAGACATTGTCCAATGGAACACCCAGTGCTTGTGCTGCAATTTGGGTGAGCTTGGTATACAAGCCTTGTCCCATCTCAGTACCACCATGGGCCACCAAGACAGAGCCGTCGTGATAGATGTGCACCAAAGCGCCAGCCTGATTCAGAAATAGAGCGGTGAACGAAATACCAAATTTGGTCGGAATCAATGCCAGACCTCTCTTCCGCCACTTGTTCGTTTGGTTGAAATCGGTAATGGCATGTCGGCGTGCTTCGTACATCGCCTCTTCCTGCACCTGCTTGTACATCAGGGGAACATGCCAATCTCCAAGACCTTGCCCGAAATGAGTCTGGCCGTCCTTCTCGTACAAGTTGATCTGGCGCAGCGTCTCGACGGGCATTCCCAATCGGTCAGCCACCTCCTCCATGTACGACTCTGCGATGAACATGCCCTGAGGTCCACCAAATCCTCGGAACGCAGTGTTAGACATCGTGTTCGTCTTGCACAAGCGTCCTCGAATGTACACATTAGGAATATCGTAGCAACCATCGATATGGGTCATTGCTCGCTCGCACACGGCTGCACTGAGGTCGAACGTCCAACCTGCATTGTTGAAGACATCGCAATCCAAAGCTTTGATCTTACCGTCTTTGTTCACTCCGACCTTGTACTTGCCAAGGAAGGGATGGCGTTGTCCGCTCGTAACCATGTCTTCCTCTCGCGACAGCATGTATCGGACTGGTCTCTTGGTCTTCTTTGCGGCGAGCGCCAAGATGGAGCTGAGAATCACTGATCGTGACTCCTTTCCTCCGAAACCGCCACCCAGTCGCTTGACACGAACAACAACCTTATTTGACTGTACATCGCAAACTCGCGAAGCGAATACTTGTCTGAAACAAGGGTTAGTATCCAATATTGGCAAAACAGGAATAACAAGAACAAGACTCACGTTTCGTTGGCGTTCTGAGTACTGGCAAAGATCTCCATCTCTCCATCCTCAGGCTTGGGGACAACCAAGCAAGCATTGGTCTCGAGGTAGAAATGCTCTTGACCGCCCATTCTCACTGTTCCAGTGAACACATGGTCACACTCCTTGAAAGCCTTCTCCGTATCTCCCTTCTTGATTTGTCGGTAGAAGTTGTGGTAGCTATCGGCTGCAATAGCATCCTCAATCGAGAGAACGGATGGCAAATCTTCATATTCAATCTTGACTGCTCGAGCAGCCTCCTGGGCTCGCAGGGGAGAAGTCGCCAGAACTAAGGCAATCGGCTGACCAACGGTCAGAACCTTGCCCTCAGCGAAAAAGACCTCGTCAAAGTGAGGAGCACCGAATTTATTGGCATCAGGGGATGGCATGTCATCCTTATCAACAACATCCACTACTCCCGGAATATCCAAAGCAGCCGAGTAATCAATAGAGATGATCTTGGCGTGTGCTCGTTTCGAAAGGACATAACAGGCGTGAAGCTCGTTCTTCATGGCAGGAATATCGTCGGTGTATTGCGCCTCGCCTGTTGTTTGCTTGAGGGCAGCCAGATGGGGGTTAGATTTGCCAGTCACTTCCTGCTTATAAGCCGCAGCGGCGTCTTCATCGACTGCTCCACTGGACAAGTCTCGTTCAATCTCGTCAATAGCCTCCTTGTCAACCTGCTCTGAGCTTCCATCGAGGATCGTCAAAACGTCATGGTAAAACCGGTAGAAGAATCCAAAAGCCAAAGACTTTCGGTAAGATGCCATGCCACCCGGAACACTAAATTGCAAGTCAAAGTCGCGACCAAGAGCGTTCATAGTTCCCTCCAAAGTCTCCAAGTCGGCAAACCGTCTCCCAACAAGGTATTCCATGGCTGTTTTGGCAGCAGCCGTCATAGCAGCCATGCCACCATAAATGAGGGCTGCTTCTTGAACGATACCTTCATCAT